TTTTTACTTACTATACTTTGTGGTAATAGTATAAAATAAACAGTTTAATGTCCAAATAAGAGCATTCAAAAGACATTCACATGGTAATCACATGTGATATCCAGGCTCTGGAATGGTTATGCATCCAAATGTCAATATAGGGGACTATCAATTTGATATGAGTTATCTCTCTAGTGCTTTTATCTTCCATTTATTTAAGAAAAGATATTAAAAAAATTGATAAATCTTCAGTCTCATGGATATGTTTACAAAGTGGGTTTCTGACTATTATTATATTCTTCTTAAATTTCTTTCTGTACAGAATATTTCTTGCACAAGAGATACTATATTTTTTACCTTTTTGACACACGTCTTGTCTTTTTGCACTAATAAAAAAAGACAAGAAATAAGATGTTTCAAGAAAATATACATTTATTAATACAAATGATTATATTATATTGATTTTTGTATGCAGTATATATTAAAAACATAGATATTATCCAAACAAAATGTCGTTCGCACCACCCTTGATCTGAAATTGGTCAACCAGAATCAAGAATTGTACATTTTGTGACAACATTCCCTTGTATGGTCCTCAAAAAAAATAGTTATTTCTGTTTCTGCTGAAGCTACCTCCTCCAAACAGCAGCTTTTGTTTACTGGTTACTATTATGCTTCTTGGCACTGTACTGAGTTCAAATGTGTGGTTGTGCAAAAATGACACGCACTAGTTCCACCAGGTGTGTACTGACTCCAGCGCTGTCTTACTGGGATCGAGATACATATATAAACACAGAAAGAGACAGCGACATCAGACTCAAAAATATCATCAAAGAGGAACAAAGAATCTCAACCTGTTTAACCTGTGGCACATGAAAAATGAAAAAAATAAACACAATTTGAACAGTTGTCAGTAGAACAAGCAAAAAAATGTCGCTCAAAGGAGCATTCCGTGGCTTTTCTGTTGTGTTCCGCCGTTGCTTTTATGTCTGGGAGATAATAGTACGAATGATATCAAACCTCAATCACCAACAACCATCAGTTCAACATATCCACTTTGCCCTTGCGCTCTGTCATGATCTCTCAGTTCATATTGGATTACAGAGGTCTGTTTGCCGAAAATTGCACAATCCACGCTCTGTCCCACAGCACAGCGCCATAAGCATCTAAAAACACATGCGTACTGTACAAATACGTCGACAAGCCAAACATAATCTCCAAAGACAAACAGCAGAAAGAGCCAAGACGCAGACGCAGGATTTCACACTGTCCCATCTGTCAAAGGAATTTACAACAATTACACACATTTTCACTATAGGCCCTCGCTTATGCCGAGCAGTTTGTCAGTGCTGTTTTAAAAAAGCTTTTTTCACATTTAATTCAGTTTGTAAACGTATAAATCGCAAAATGTGAAGCTTCAACTCTTTGGACAGTCCGAATCTAAGCCAGTCTTATGATCATCAATGACCTCAAGAGAATGATGAAATGTTTTGCCTTTGTTTGATTCTAATGTAAATTAAAATTGTGTTTTTAATTTATAGCAAATTAGTTGCTATAAATGCTGTGTCACATAATCATCTTGCTCAGCCTTTATCGAATACATCTCAGACAAAGGTGGTGCATTACATCTCATGGCAAACTAAAGCTGGGGTACCTAACTTTCAAGCCACAAAGCCATGTATGTATGTAATGTATTTCACATGCATATATTTTTGGTTTTTGTTGTATCTTTAGGTCAGCTTTTTCAGACAGAAAAGTGAAAAAGACCGGATCACCCTCACTCCTATCAGCGCTCAGTCAAACCAGCCGAACAGTGACTCTCAGGGCTCTTTCTTCTTTCTAGATAGATCGATAGATAATTGATTAATCCCGTAGGTTAAATTCAGGTGTCCAGTAGCAGTAAAAAGTAGCAGTAAAGATAGAAAAATTAATAAAACAAAATTGTATGTATAAAATTAGTTGCATGGCCGGTCAGCTGTTCTGAGTAATACTGCATTTCCACCAGACAATTCCTTCAACTATAGATAGATAATAGAAAAATGCACCTCCAAAGTCACACACAAAATGAACCAGAAAATAAAATGCAGGGTTGTGTTATTGCTGCATTCAACATTTATAGAACAATAATTGGATATTAGTTCAAATGAATCCGATTACATGTATACAACCTGTGTCGTCTCTCCCCATCTCAGCTTTAAAGTTTGTTTAAGCGTTTTAAGACCGCACATCGACGCAGACACACATACACACACGCCCGCCTCGGTCCGGCATCCTCTGCTGAGGAGTGTGTCGTCATAGCAACAGTAAAACGAGACGACTTCGCTGTCAGCCGTAATGTTTCGCCCCCTCCTCCCCCCACCCTGGGCGCCATGGCAACATAACAAGGAGGGGCGGAGGATAGAGAAGCCCGCATGCCACCGGACCGCACGTGCCAAACATAAAGGGGAGGGGCGGGGAGCGTGTGCGTGTCCTTATCTCACATGGGCTGCACTCTTTAAGGATTGAAATGTGGGAATGTCTTCATGTAGAAGTGGGCAGTAACCAGTTTTCATCAAAAATGGCAAAAAATAAATACATAAAAATATTTAAACAGAAATGGAAAAACAGAAGTTGGATCTCAGCAAGGTTTCAAGTTGAGCTTCATTATGCAGCAAGAATAAATGGCTGTGAGATTAAAAAAATAATAATAATACCAACCAAATTATATAATTATAAACAAATAAAATCATAACAATAAAAATTTTGTTTTACACATGACTTTAAAGGAGGCTTATGTATGATTTTAAAAGATTTCAAGCTTCAAAAACTCTTCTGTATCTTGTAATAAATAAGTACTACTACGATTACTACTACTACTTACTTCAAGACTTTCAAGAAGGATCATGTTTTTGTTTTTCCACACTTGGATGAGCGCATCACTCAACATTTAAATTAATATTTCCTTTTAAACCTGTATATTTAACATATACAGGTTTGTATATGACAAACAGAATACGAAATACACAGAAACACACAGTTTGAGTTACACACCCCTTTACAACTTTGAGGGTTTTTTTCTCATTCAGTGCAGCTTTTTTGGGAACTTAAGGCAGTCAATTTTTATTTTATTCCAGTCAAACCTGTACACAAATGTGGCTTGGCCAGACTAACGCATGCTTCTTCAATACTATACAAATATATGAAGTCAACAGTTTACCTGTAGACGTAACTGTCAGACAAGATCAAACCATTAGAGACGCTGCTGGATAAACCATTTCCAACTTGTTCCCTGCTCTGGATTTAGTGTTTTCATACCTTCCATATGATTAAAACAAAAGATTTTTTGTTTGTTCATGTTGTGGAAAAGTATGGCGCCTTTTAAAATCTTGTGGATGTTTGTTTGGATGTGAGCTTCCCTACAGACTTTCCCTCTTTTAACAAGTGGCATCGGGCCATGGGGCTAGAAAAAATGTGGATCCGTTTGTCATTTTCAGAATTAGAATCAGAATCAGAATCATTTTTATTGCCATGTAAGTAACATGAAGTCACAGATTTGGAAATTGCTTTGGCTCTTGGTGCAAACAAGTCAAAAGTAGAGCAGAATAAAGCATAATAAGGCATAATAAAGCATTTCTAAAACATTTCTTTGCGTCAGGTATCCACACGGTCATGACATTTTGGACGCTAAGCCAATAACCCTTCTCTTTATGACCGTGCTGGAGTTGTTGAACTGCATCGGAAGAGTCACCTCACGAATTGTTTGATTGTGTTGTCGCATAACAAAACTCTAGCAACCTTCTTCCTTCATCTCCTTTCTCTCTCCATGTCCCCTCGCCACTTCTCCGCCGGCGCTGATAGCTGCTTAACACCGGTGATAGGCTGGAGTGGAGAGCCCTGTGCTAAATATAGCCGCTCATGTATAGCGGAGGTGCTGCTGTTGCTCGGTGTATACACGGCAGCCTTTACTGTCCCTGTGCCTGGGAGAACGTGGAGTTTTGAGGCATATATATATTTTTTTTCAACTCATCTCTCTTTGCTTCCTGACAGCACCGGCGCTCATTCAACACGCTGTTCCTGTCGGCAGTTGGATGCTCCACTCCGCCCGTATTGACGTATTGAAGTAGTAGTGTGTGTGAAGTTTGATTGTGTACTGTAATCAAACTAGCATGTACACTGTAGGTGGTACGATGATGCTTTTTGGGTGATTGTGAGAAAGCCGCGATGGACCGCTTTACAGGCTGTGCTGAGGACCCTAATGCACAATTTCATATTTTACAATTTCATCTGTTGACTAAACAAGTCTGAAATTGAAATAATATTTAGCACTGACCAGGTTCAGTGCCACTCGATTTCAGTCCAAAATGTGGAGACACTGGTATGGCTGCCTTTTTAAAGTCCTAACTGTTTGTTTTAAGTTGGACCTAGAGTATGTAAGAAAGTTTAATTGAATTGTATTTGTTTAGTTTAGAGACGTTTGATGAGATTGAATTACTTTCTTGCCAAGGACACATCGTTACAACATTACTCCATTTCAAAAACATACCAATGGTTGCAGAAAAAGAACTCTGAGGAATGTCTAATATTTGCTAATACATATTTACAGTGCATGTTTTGACTAAAAGGAATTTTTCAGGCAGTGTCAATACAGGTGTAACCACAGTGTTTATGTGAGATCACAGGGCTATACCTGAATACATGATTTTTCACTATTGCCATGAAATAGCTACATTACAGGTGAAAATGTGACTCTTGTCTTAACTTTTGTAATTGAACTCACAATGTGGAACTAATATATGACCAGCTTCTGAGCCAATTATCAACATGCGGTCTGCATGTTGATAATTGGCTCAGAAGCTGTTTATATAATCTCCAAATAAAAACAATTTGAATATTTAGAAAAAGGACTGTAAGCCATAATCATGAAAATTATGAAGAAAAAAAGCTTGACGTATGTCGCTGTTCGTGTAATGAGTCTATATCACAAATTGGTTTCACATTTAAGTTGAATTACATAAATAAATTAACTTCTAACAATATTCGAGTTTTACCTATTTATGGAAACTACAAAAATGCTGCAGATTTTTTGTTTTGCTCTCATCTCAGTTCTATACATCACTTTTGAGCAGTCCAGATTTGTTGTTAATAGGCAGGTTTTGTAGGTTTAATTTCAATGGGGAAAAAAATGGAGACATAGTATGATATATTTATTCTACCACCAAGATTATAAAGAATGAATATGAATAATGCATACTCTTTCTTCCTCAAAGGGGCATAACATTTGTGTGAAAAAGTGTATATTGTTGACCCGTTTGTGGCGGTATGTGTGGTCAGCATGTCGTCTTTACTCTTCATCACAGTGGTCTTTAGGATTCAGGATCAATTTTTCGGATCTGTTCTCCCGCACCAGAAAACCTACAAAGCAATTGATCCTGGAGCACTGTAGACACAACCGTGATCAAAGGGCAAGGCACCGTGCTGACCACTTTTAGAGCCGCTGGGTCACAGCAAGGTCAAACATGCAAAAATATAAAAAAAATTCACATAAAGTTTTATAATCTTCCTTGAATTGCATTATTATAATACATGGTTTGAGTTTTGATAGTTTTTTTTTTATCAAAACACATTGTTCCAAAACGAGGACTATGAATTCTACTACTTTTAATCTTTCCTGCACTGATCTATCAAGCTAAATTTAAAGTCACAGTTTCTGCGCTGTATCACTTTTACGATGATTCACTTTGGGCGACAAGGTGGCTGAGTGGATAGCACTCTCGTTACTCAGCAATAAGGTCCTGGGTTCGAATCCCAGTCAGAACAGTGCCTTTCTGAGTGGAGGTTTCATGTTCTCCTCATTTCTGCATAGGTTTTCTCCGTGTGCTCCGGTTTCCCCTACCACTAAAAACATGCACATTAGGTATGAATGTGTGCTTATTGTTTGCCCAATTGCTTTCGTTTGTAAGTTTGCACATATATTATATGTCTGCTCCTGAATTGTATATCTATATTTTCCACAATAAATATCAAAAAAAAAAAAAAAAGGTATGAATGTAACGAGTGAGTGAATGGATGATGCTGGTTGGAGGCTTTGATGCGTCAGTGCGTTCGGCGTCTCTCTTCCGTCATCACCGTGTGGGGAGAGAATGAAACAATATCTGAACTCTGAACATTGTAAAGCACTTTGGATGACCTTGGTCTGTAAAAATGTGCTATATAAAAAAATATCACTTACTTATGTTCTCAAAAATAGCTCAGAATATAGTGGCAGCATTATTACTTCATCAGACACATCGTCATTTGACCTTGATCCATTATTGTCCTGTACAGTGTCCTTGGGTGTTCAGAAAGGCGTTTTAAATCAAATGTATTATTATTATTATTGCATATTTCTCCACCGTGAGATCAATAAAGTTATCTTATCTTATTGTTGACTATAGATGTTGTTGTTGATGATTTTCACGTTCTCACAGAGGGCTGTTCTGTTCTGTATTTGCGTGCAGCACTGGAATTATTTCATGAACAACATCAACTATGTGACAATTGCGTTGGCATATCAGAGACTTCATTAGAGAGTCATTTCTAATAACACGATGGCATTCAATTACAGCTAGTGATTTAGAAAAAAAAAAAAAAAACGGATGTATTTATTTAATACATGTACCAGCAACTCATTAGCAGTGCTTCGACTTGTTTGAACTTTTTGTCCAGCTCACATTTTGAAACACAGCAGCCCAATAAATCAAGAGTTTTGTTTAGTTTTGACAGCCTGCTTTTCATTCTGTGGTTGTTTTTCAAATGGAGATTTTTTGTTGGCTTAGTAGATCAAAATGGAAATTCAGATAATTTCACATCCAAAATCCAAGTTTAGAAAGTTAACTTTGTTTTTATTTCTGGTTGGTAACACAACTATGCACAAGCTTGGAATAGAAGCCATTTACAAAGTTATTGTCATAGTTAAAGTAATGTAAGTGTAGTTAATAACATTTTCAATTAACCTTAGTTGCTCATATTAGTTGCAACAAATCAAATACCTTGTTATAGCCCTAATTATTGTATCTAATGTATTTTATAATAATTATTCTATCTCACTTCTCACTGTGCAACTCAGAACTCTGATAGAACCAATTATTTCTAATGGGACGATGTAGAAGTAATTATGATAATGATTATTTTTGTTATTATCATTCACAACACACCAGTAGTTTTTTTTTTTTTTTTGCGTAACTCAAATCAAATCTAATATTATTGATTTCAAATGTGTGTACAATTTCAACATAAAACAACAAGATGTACAAAAGACAAAAAACAAATACACAGGAAACAGGCAATATGAATACTCAGTTTGAAAAACACATATAACATCATTTTAAAATCATTCTATATCCTATAATGTGACTGTAGCTTGTCCATTTTAATCACTTCATCCTAAACGGTGTCTGCGGGGGACAAGCCATCACGAGTTGTTTTGCCCCGTTGCCATGGAGACCTGGCCTGACACTCCTCACGGCACGGCGGGTTGCCACGGTGACAGCTGTCAGTCAGATCGGCCCGTGATCACCTTGGATTAGACCCGCGGCGACGGCATTGCTGGGCCCATAATCCCGCGGTCGGAAATGGGACGTGGGTTTAAAAATACACCCTCCATTTACATGTTATTTATTTATTTCATTGAACTGTTTGCGGGTCACGTGAGGCAGGACGGGGGCAGATTACTCGGAGCCGTCTGCTCCGCCACAGCTGTCAGAGAGAGAGAGGAGAGTCCACATGTGATTACAATTTTTAGAGATATGTTTGGATCTTCTATTAATAACCCAGACATTCTATTATTAAATGTTTACTGGTATCCTGCCTGCTTTTAAAGTGGTTATTCCAACATTCTCGAGCATATGTGGAGCTGAGATGGGAAGCAAGCTGAGGCAATTTATTCCACTGCATGTGCCAGTGCTCCATAACTATAAACCACACAAAGCGCGCATTTTAGCTCACATAAAGGTGATGTTCAAACTATTTAAGAATGAAATATATGTTTATATTCTATCCAAATTGTCACGTGCTCTTGCAAAACCATTGAAACACATAAGGGTCATTCCCAGTGATAAAATACTGGTTTTCGCTTCATAAACTCCAGCTTTCCTACGTTGAGTGAAACGAGCTAGCATGTCCTTTCCATTTGCCGTTTAATCCCCCGCACCACCTCGTCTTCAGTGTGAACGCTCCGACAAAATATAGCTGTATTTTAGATTGCAATGCTCACGGGTGGGTCAGGTGAAGGTTATAAAGCTGTACAGATGTCACACGAGGGACGATCCTTTGCATAATGACGGAGAAACAAGCCGTGAAAGTCAAAGTTTGGGCTGTTGCTTGTGTAAGTAAGTAAGTAGTAAGTAAGCTTTTATTTATATACCGCCTTTTCACTGCACATCGGAGTCTCAAAGCGGTTTACAATTGTTGGGTGGGGGTGCCAGTACAGGAGGCACATGCCATACCTATTGTACATATTTTTAGTGGTAGGGGAAACCGGAGCACCCGGAGGAAACCTACGCAGACACGGGGAGAACATGCAAACTCCACTCAGAAAGGCCCTGGTCCAACCGGGATTCGAACCCAGGACCTTCTTGCTGAGAGGCGAGAGTGCTATCCACTCAGCCACCATGCCGCCCGTTGCTTGTGCTGCTCTTTCTTTTATAAAGTTGACCTTGCAAAAAAATATGTTGGAAAGTGTGTATATTTCTCCATATGGATCATCTGTATGGATGGTTGTTGTAGTCCTTTATGATTTTGCTCTGGTCCTGAATCTGCAGGACTCCAGGACACACATAGTGACTTTTAATTTATTTAAGACTGTTGAAAGTTGGTATTTTCTTTTGACTTGGTCTAAAGTATGACTACATCTCTAAAGCCATGCACATTCTTGAATAATTGCATTTGGACACTGAATGTAAATGTGCTGAAGCTTTGGTAAGAGCTGGTGAGATGTTATAGAAGCTTCATATCCATACCTACTACTTTTGCAGCTTACAAATTGTGTAAAACAACTTTTATGTTTTGGGCTCAAAATACAATGTTACGGTCAAAGAAGTGAAGGAATGAATGACTCAATCTTTATTTGTACATTTGTTGTATTTCATGTGACATCACAACATTCCAAAGAGGTGATACTAACATAGTGGTAAAGGGCAGTGGAATCCTGTGTCCTGGTAACTGTCAATATCAGATTTCTAGTCTTAGTTAGTTGCCATCATTTCTTTTTTTTTTTGAGCAAAATCACACAAAACTGTCTCAAATTTGCACATCTTCTTTGCCTATACCTATCAACTTTGGTAAACGTTTCTCAAAATGGTCTCTGGACGTGGTGACAAAAGCATTTGCATGATGTTGGCCTGGAGAAAGGGCTTTCAGACATAAGATTAATAGGTCATATATATGATTGTGAATCAGTTTATTGGCGTCTCCCCTCCAATTGAATTCTACAAAATGAACGCAACCCATTGTTCAGAAACACCTTTCAAAATCAATTTCTCCATTGATAAATCATGTTTTATCTTGCCATATTTGAAATCGCTCAATCATTTTGAAGTCGGACACTTTCTTACCTCATCTCATCTACCTAATATTATAATCAAACACTTTATCTGGCCTGTGTCATCGCTCTACACTCTCACATACCCCGCTTCCTATTAGACCTTAAGGAGTATGTTATGACAGCAACCCCATGTAATGTCAATACAGCACTGGTACAGTAGTAATTAGAAGGGGGTTGTTACAAGTGCAAGATTTCCTCGACCACTGGAGCACTAAATTCGCCGTCCCACTCAGACCGCCCCTGAGAGCAGCCATGATGGGGGCTGTTCACTGTACACGCTCTAATTGGGTCTGGTGTCTGCTGTAAGCTAACCAAATAAAAGAGATCATATGACCGACCGACGTGAGAGAGAGCAGCTTTTGGGATTATTGGGCAGGATTAATGCAGAAGTAATAATAATGGCTCAGTATACAGAGTGTAGCGGTGTCAATTTAAAGGGACGCTATGCCATTTTTGGATAACTTTGAAAAGTGTAATGGTTGTAAGGTAAGAAAATCAAACTTTGAAAGCATGGAAAATAGGTGGTCGATGAAGGCGGAACGGATCATGTTGAAACTAAATGAATCTTTCACCAGAAAATTCTATCCCATGTTGCTAACCCTCCATTTTGGTATACAAGGAGAAGGGGGAAAAAAATCTAACTCTATTTAGTGAGGAAAATGTGTAACACTATTCCCGATGCAGCTGGCTAGTGTCAGAAAAAAAAAAAAAAAACGTTTTGAGTGAATTTGAAGTGGATAGATTAGATGAAACATTTCACAAATTCCTCTTGCAGTTTTTTCTGTAGTTTACAAAATCACGAAGTTTGTATATGACCTGGTTTCTGATAGAGGGAGGGATTCATTTTTAAAAACTTGGCATTTCAAGCACTTGTCAATTGACTCGGGGTCAAGCTATTTGAAATTTTTCGGAGAATTCCATCCCACCTGACAGAGTGACGACTAGAAGAATGGGATAAATGGTCTGCTGTGGATCTGAAGGTTTGTGATGCCTTGAATGAAAACATCACATTCTCAGATCCACACAGCGTTCAGTGGCTAAATAAACTTGAATTAGGATAAGATTCACTTTATTGATCTCATCATGGAGAAATTTACAACAACAAAAGTATCATACAACTGAGTATCATTTCTGACCAGATATGTGTCAAATTAAAGCTGGGGAACTTAACCTAAAAAAAAAATAATAATAATAAGAACTGTATAGTATGTCTAAAAATCTGTCTAGCTAGTTCCTTGTCACTAGCTTTTACATGCATACAGTATATTTTTGTCATATCTTTAGATCATTAGAGGACTGCCCTCACTCAACTAAATAGGTCAGACAGAATGCTGATTTGCCAATAGCAGAATAGAAAATCAAACAGTTTAAGCAGTCATTTGTTTAAAAGACACAAAGATGAACACATATTCAGAGTAATTCGGCGCAATGGTTTAATGTCCCTGTCCTTACACCCTCCATCTTTGGCAAGGACAAACTCTTTTTGTCATTTATTTATGTTACGATGTGCGTTGGTGTGCCAGACAATTTTCCCCCGTGCAAAATAAAGGTTGCCTTCTTTCATTTTGTATAACCGCTGACCTTTTTCATACCACATAAACTTGTAAATCTGCGTCTGTCATGTTGGATTATGTGAAAAATGTGCGGTGTGTGTTTGAAATAAATGATAAAACAATCACTTTGAAACAGTAGTTGTGTCCTTTGGCAAGACACTTTGCCTAGAATGAGTCTGATGTGTGTGTGAATGGTTGGTGGTGGTTTTTGTGCTTAATTATTGCTTCTTCATCATGTTAAAGTTGGAGAGTTTAAGACTTATATCCTATTGTACAGAAGATGGAGATTGCTTTCTGACATTCTTCTTCTTTTCATGCTGAAGTTAGAGATTTTATTTTATTTTAGTATAGAGTTATTATTCATGTATCTTGTGCTGTGTGCTCCTCATTCCTACTGTTGAAATATTGGGATGCAGCACTGAAATTTCCCCACCGTGGGAACAAATAAAGCATCTCTCGATCTTAACTAACCCTCTCCTGTCTCTGGTTGCAGGAGTGAGCCCGGGGCTGGATGGGACCCACCATGCCCCCCAGTAAGAAGGCTCAGAGCCCCAGCAGTGGAGCCAGCGCGTCAGAGGGGAGAAGCCCGCCGTATCGAGGCCAGGGCGAGGCCACGGAGGCAGATGCGGGCGACCTCTCTCTCTCCCTGTCTGCGTCCTTCTCCAAAGCGGACGACGAGGAGCTGACCAGTCTGTCCTGGCTCCACGAGAGCACGGACCTCCTCAACAGCTTCAGTCACTCGGGCTTGCGCAGCGTGTCGCCTTTACAGGAGGCGGGACACGGCCAGCGCTCGCCATCCTCGTCCCCCTCTCCGGACGACGCGCTGCTGGGGGATGCGCACTCCTTCGATTTGGGCACGGGCGCCAACAGGAAGCCGCCTTACTCCTTCAGCTGCCTCATCTTCATGGCCATCGAGGACGCGCCCAACAAGCGGCTGCCCGTCAAGGACATCTACGGCTGGATCCTGGAGCACTTCCCGTACTTCGCCAGCGCGCCCACGGGCTGGAAGAACTCTGTGCGTCACAATCTGTCGCTCAACAAGTGCTTCAAGAAGGTGGACAAGGACCGCAGCCAGGTAAATGAGGAAGCTTTTTTGATTACTGTGGGGTTTCTAGTTTTCTTTTGCATGGTTGGATTGACATGAACTCCTCTGCAGATCTAAAGTGAGCGAAGTTTGGGTTGAGTGCTTTTGTCATTTCCTAGCCCAGTTTTTTTGTGTGTCAGAGAACTTGATTGGTCAACTACAGTCCAGTTTTTTATCCTTCCATGGTGATGTTAGAGTGTGTAGCTTTCATGCTTAGCGCCAATGAGAACATGAGATGAAAAATATTGGATTTTTTAAAGCTGTACTAACTGACTTTGGGATTTTGAAGCCGTGGACTCTCTGGCCTCTCTCTCTCTGCTCCCCTCCCCGCACCCACGAAGCTATCGCCCCCCACACTCACTCACTGTTGTTGACGGAGCTAGCGTCTCCCAATATGGATAATACATGGATATGGATTTGCACGTGGATGGCGTGACCATAGAACGATAGAACCGGGAAGCGCTGAGGAACGGGACTTTCTTTAGGATGGCTGTTTCGCTGTGTAAGCAGTAACCGGTGACGAAGACGAGGAAGCTTCAAGTTAGATCCGCTGCTTGTTGTGCTAACTCAGCTGACTATGGTAACGGACCTGTGGCTTTCTCACGAAAGTAGGGGCTAGTGGTCCGCTGTGATTGGTCACAATCAGAGACCCGAAACACATTCTCTTCCTTGTTTCATCAAAATTCGATCTAAAATATAATGTCACGCCAGCACAAATCTGCGCTACTTTTTCTTCAAAAGGATGTATATCCCAATGCACTGCATGGACATGGATAGCATTTTCGTAATGAATACAAAAATAAAGTCAGTTAGTGCAGCTTTAATCTTTGCAGACCGGTATTCAAACATATATTATAAGGTATCTAGGGTTCGTAAAGTCATGGGGAACCTGGAAATGTCTTGAAAAATAAATGGAATAAAAATCCAGGCCCTGGAAAGGCTTGGGAAATGCATTGTACTGGGAATCGTTTTGGGAGTGTAGAAGATATTTTGAGTTTATGATAGATTTGTTTTATTTATTTATCTGGAATTGAAATTCTTTATTCTCAGTACAAAAGCGCCCATATGAAATCTATGAAATCATATTATAATGACAGTCATTGTGACGTTTTCTGAATGGTTGTGGATAGGATAGATATGACAAATCTTGGTTTAAACGTAGATTTTATTTTTTACCTAGAAATGCTGTATATAATCGCATGGCTTTAATGCAAAAAAGCACCTCATACAGTTAATTAAATTCAAGGATTTCTGTACAATAGTGTGTCATGTCACTTATCTGCCCACATCTGAATCTGGCTACAGCTTCAATAATAAGCCCCGTTATCTAAAGACCTCTTATATCAAGGTGCTTACTATAAAATGTATATATTTCTATGTATACTTCTTTGTATCCGTGTTTCATGTGTTGAAATCTTAATTAATCCTCACCTTTTTCCACCTTTGTTTGAAATGCAGTCAAGTGGCCCTCCTTTCTACGCGCTTTCTTTCAACATAATTTTCCTGTCGCTTTTAATCCATTGGCCTTGATATCAAGTCCATATTATCACACACTCTTCCTTTCTATAAATAAGCAGTTAGATAAGCGCTCTTACTTGTCAAGTTTGCAAAGCCGTCGCATAATTACACGGCGGCAGTGGAGGGAAAAGTTGAGTGAAAAATATGCAAGAGGAGAATAATAATCCCACGAGGAGTTTGATTTTGTTCATGCCGACACATAATGAGCTGTTTAACATTGGAAAACAAACATGCAACAGTCCGCGGAGAGGCGACCAAAGAAACACATGGAAAGAAAAGAGAAGTGTGCCATGGATCCAGCGGTGGACTTCTCACTGTAAACACGACATCAAGGACAGCTCTGTACTGTTCTGTGGTGGATTTGACTCCAGAGTTTTGAATCTGTTGTTTCGGCAGATATTTATGTGTTTTTTTAATCCATCCCTCCATTTGCTTCTGCTTTATCCTGAGAGAGGGCAGCAGTCCAAGCAGACTTCCCTATCCTTATCCCTCAATATATTCACATATTTTTCATTGTTTGCTTTAGTGTAGGGATGTAGGGAAAACTTGCATTGTAGACCTATACTTATTTCCATTCATGTATTACTTATTAAATGCATGTTATCATTTGAAAGTTTCTGTTTTAAAGCATAATTCAAACCCTAAATTATTGAATAAACAATTTATTGCATGACAATGAAAAGGTCTTCTAGTAATGTCTTAATTTCTCCTGGATTTTTTTTATCAACTACTGTATTTTTTGGTCTTTTTAATGATTCCCAGCCCTTCTTTTTTGTAATGAAATGGAGTAGTGCGTCTGACAGGTTATAATGACTGTTTTACATCAATAAAGCCAAAGAAATTACCAAAAACTGCGATTCAGTTAAAATAGTTTCCTGCCTCACTTTTAACATAATTATACTTGCTAAAAAGTTAAGCAGGGTTCTTCTTTACTGTAGTTATGAATGTAATGAGCCAGTGGATGGATGGTCTGAACTCTCAACAATTGTAAAGCGCTTTGGTTGACCTTGGTCTGTAAAACTGCGCTATATAAATAAACCTTAAACCTTACTGTATGGCTGTACTTCAGATATATATTAAAACTGCTCTAATGTTTTGTTTTTGCATTCAAATATTATGATACACTTATTTAATTGAGTCGTACAGTCAATACGTTTTCCGATATACCTCGACAAACTGGTGTAAAACTGTAGGTTACATTCAAAACTGGTCAAAATGTAAAAACAAAAAAATCATGAAAACCAGTAATATGTACTTAAAATAGCTCCTGGTTTGACTCGAAACGAAAATCTCAGTCCATTAGTGCACACTCTGAATGTCTGTGGCCAGTGTTAGTTATTTATGCGACTGATTTCATATTTCTCATTATAGAACAGGCCCCGATGGTCAAACGTGAATAATTTTTTAACAATAACAATATTATAAGCAATTAAAGCTGCAACTGCTTCTCTTTTAAGATAAGCAAAAGTAGCGTCCCTCTATAAAATTGGATTGTAAAAACAAACCTCTGTCATTGATATCACCACTGTCTCTATCTAGTTAGAAAAATATTTCACCTTGAGCAAACTAACAAATTGGCTGTGCAATCGTGGCCCACCCTGTTTCGCTGCTCCGTCTGAAAAAAAAGAGTTTTGAAGCCAAAATCATGCATAAATACGAGTGATGTGCCAAAGAGTTAATGGGAGCTTAGAAGTTAAAAACCAACTTATTTAGTTTGAAAATCAGGTGCAACAGCTTTAAGCATTTATAATTATTCCAATTTAATCCAAACACGACTGAGAACTGATGCTTTTTAAGGTCGAGTTATAGGGAAGTGTAACTGGAGGAATTTGTGTTTTATAATCAATTATGGAATTACTATAGAGTGCTCTACCAAATAAATTAACCAATCCACATTTCCTGGACTTTCAAAACTACATTACTACTTTTTTTATAATAATAATAACTATAATACATTTGATTTATATGCTGCCTTTCTGGGTACTTTTGTAGAGTCGCCTTACCTTTTTGTAAGGGGCACTATGTTCATTTTCTTTTATAAATGCAATTCAAATATCTAAAATTCAAGATTTTTAAATTGTTTTTATATTTATTGGAACGTGTCCTTGTGTATTATGTAGATGGAGCTGATCACTTTCAATACATGATGTTTCAAGTTTGGAAGGACACACATATGCTAGACCAGGGGCCGGCTAGCTTCATTATCAAAAGAGCCATTTTTTCCTCAGTCAAGAGATGCAAATAACATATATTTTACATGATAAGCAAACAATAATGTTATTGGTGAATGGTGGTAAGTGTGCAACAGGGTTTATCATGACATTTTTTTTCTTTTTTCAATGCAGAGGGCACCTTTTTGAGCAACCCGAAGAGCTCCAGAGTGCAGATTTTGAGATGTTCACTAAAAATGTTAAATATGTAGTCAATTTGTCTACAATTTTTTTCATGAAATCAGCTTCATAACTTAATATACATACATTATACATTCACATGATACATTTCCATGATTGGAAAGGAGCAGGGAGGAAGAAAAAGAATCTTATGTTTATCTGCCCCTTCTCTACACTTGTACTTTTGGCCCCAACCAGTTCTCAAGTTTTTTTTTTACTTGGCCCCCTATCTAAATGAGTTTGACAACCCTGGGCTACAACTTCTTTACAAAAAAAATGTCTTTTCGATTTTCCATTGTGGTTCAAAGAAATGACTTTTTTAGCAGCAAAATGTCTTCAAACCAAGTTAAAATCACTAATTGTGCATGGGCAGCATTAGCGTAACCTTACCAGTTTCCAGTGCAGCATCTGTAACCATGACTTGCCCCATCTTTTCTCATGGTAAGCCATTTCACAAGCAGACAGTTGTGAGCTGCATTCAACTTGAAGCCTAACATATTCCGTATTTTGTTTCCCTGTGTTGCCGATTGGGGCTTTATCAATACTTGATGCTGTTCTTTCATGGCTTGTGTGGTGCAGTTTCCCCGGTGGGAGCAGCGTCTAGTTTTTTTTATTTAGCTCTTGATGCGTTCACTTTTAATACCAGGATTTTCCCAGGCTGTATTGAGACGTACTGAAGTCACGGCGAGTAAAAATGGGAAATTGTCTCTCTCGCTCTCAATTAGTGCTAAATTAGTAGTAATTGTGTAAGAATATAATAACAGAGCGGGTTGTGAGGGAGTGAACGGGGGGTGTTAAGTATAAATATTTGATTTTCAACTGACTGCTGTTTCTCAAACTGTGATGCAGGAATACAAAAAAATGCCGGAGCAGCAGAAAAGTAAAAGACAATATCATGATTTAAAGGAGCTCTGTGTAACTTTGTCTAATAGGTGTGGAGTCATGGAGAGGTAGTCTTCTCCAACTTAAGGCTCTTGGCTCGTATCTCACACCGAATGCAGGAGTGGAACCATTTATTCATTTTCTCATAGGTGTGGTTTACAATTGTCGTTTTTGGCGCATAAACAATTGTAGTTTATGCGG